AAAGCCAGCCTTCCTGCTCCTCTGATGCTGCTTGGCCTGCTGTGTTCATCCAGCTCTACACCTTGTCATCTTAGATATTGGTGATGTTCTGAATGTTCAGCACCAATGCTACCCTGTATCCCTAATTAACTTTTATATTGACCATTTTCCATCTGGTTGCCACTAATTTAGCCAAATAAAGTGCAGAGTTGACAAAATTTCAAGTATTTCTCCTTTCCTATCATCTTTGCCCGGTTTCAAAACCCAAACAGGTCGCATTCCCATGGTTGTCTCTTTAAAGTCCACATCTTTTGTGCATCTCTTGTTTGTAAATCCTGATGAGATCACAGAAGTTTGATGGTACAAATCCGAACACACCAAAACCAGTGTCAAATTATACCTTTGTCTGCCTCAAATTTCTCTTCCTGAAGCCAGTGATATTCCCAGTGAGTGGAGGGAGACACTGCCCTGCTCCAGATCCTCTACTCTAATCCCAGAATGAAAGGAGATACATGACGGTCTATATTGAGGAGACCCCAATCCATAAACCCCTCCAAGTGAGGCGGGAAAACATTTAGTAAACCGACTGCCCAATATACAAACCCACCGTCTTGGTGCATCACAGTCAGACAGTAATCCGCTGCAATTGAAGGCTCCTGCATCAGATAATTTTCTTACAACTTTCCATTTTTTGCCTTTGAGCCTGCTGACTTTATACACATTTGCTCATGCAGAATAAAGGACAGTTGTCATACAGCTGTATTTCAGTGCGGCTTGCACATTAGCTCTTGACCGGAACAAATCTTTGTCAATGCAATGGATGATATATGATGAACAACCATGGGGACCTTCGCAATGCAGCTATAGCAATGGGAAGGTACAGGAGATCATAGGTGCTAGATTACAAGGGAAGATCAGGGGACACTATGGCAATAGAATGTGCAACGTACTGGGCAAGACAATAAAGGGGCTGCTTTCTCTAGTTTATAAAAATTGTGTAAAAGCAGGGAGATGTTCAATAGGGGCAGACACGCACCAGAATGAAGGACTTCTATAATTTTGTTACATGAGTACTGGAAATACTCCAAGAACAAGTAAGTACTCCAACAGTTCCCTTTAAAGAAATGCGCCTTTATCAACTAGTTAGAGCACCATTTTTATTCGGGCTGATTTGCCAACAAAAAATATCCCCCGTTGTCTGTACAGAACATACAGCGACAGCATCTCATGTGCAAACATAAAGAATACAAGCGTATAGGCCCTGCCTCCAGCTCTGCATCAAATCCCTTCCAAATCAACCAGTGGCCAACGGTACACATTCCCACTTCCTAAGGCTAAAAATAAGGACTGGTTCCGTTTTGGCAGTCCAAAAGTCCACGACTACATGAAATGCAGCGATGAATACTGCAAATCAATCTCATTTACATCCACACACTACAGCAAGGTAATCAAAAACAAAAAAAAATTTACAACACAGGGAGCAGCCATGACCTCTAACTAGCAGGACTGAAGATACTGCACAACATTCCTGACCCTACATTTCCACCACCACAGTGGAACAGAATGCTGGCGCGCACACGGGGCATCGTAGGTCATGCATAACTTACATTTCGACAAAAATTTACGCTAAGATCTAAAACGCCCCTGTCATTTGGAATTCTGTTTGAAATGGCCACTGATGTAGCAACATCCCTACTCACTGCTCATGAGGCAAAAGGAGTGTTACTTCCATGTGAGACTGTTATCGAGGTCAACAAAGCCAGATGAGAGGGAGGAGAAGGCACGCTCTGCAGATATCATTTGTGGTGTTTCCATGTCATTCCACGGTGGGTGAACTGGGGCTCATGTGCAAACCATCATTATTTCATGTGAAGGACAGGAGACAAAGCAATGCAGTGGAGAGGTCCAGCCCAGGTTGCCTCCCTGCTGGATTAAATCACTACATGGACTACACCTAATCCAGTCAGTACGAGTTAGATAAATGGGACCCAGTTTTCAAAAATCAGATTGCAATTTCCATCTAAAATAATATCATTACACCAAACTATTTTGGGGAGGGGGGTGAGTGTGTAAAGGAGTGGATGATCACAGAATTCCAATAGTCAGAAACAAACAGTATTCAAATATAACCATCAAATGATAAAGCACCAAAATTCAATGCACAGCAGGAGATATCTGCGGGAGTGCATGGGTTAAGGTCACATAGAACACAATCTGTCTATTGCTAATTATCTCCCCAAAATAGAAGCAGCCTTGTACTGCTTAATATGAGAGCAATAAACTAAATGGTCACATCTATTCAGTATGCATTGTTGTGTGCTCTTTCAATTGTTTTTATTTAAGAGGCACTGCTCCTTGTGTGTGTCAGACATAATTTAATTGCATAATATCCTCAAAACATGCATCACGATTGCATTCCCAGGCACCTACACATTCTGGGTGTCCCACAGTATGAACAGAAGCCAATTTTGAGAAATCTGGAGCAGGCATATGTGAAAAGCAAAACATATATTGCAGCACCAAATGGTTCCTGTACCAGAGAAATTAAAATCCACCCTGATGCAGGCTCCCTCTTTCCTGAAACAGCACATCCCGCACTGACACTGCAGTCCACAGTGAGGAATTTAACACAGAGAAATTCTCTGCAAACAAAGCACTGGAAACTCCAGCAAATGGAAGAGATCAACTACAATTTATTTACGCAGCAAGCCACATTCTGAAGTGCAGAGGGTCCCTCTGCACTGACTTGACAATGGGTTTTCTTTAAATTACACGCTCGGTGCATTGGAATCAGAACAATGGAATGTGCTGATGGACAAATTTGTCAAGGTACCTTTCTCTTTCGATCCCGCGAACGTTTCCGGTGTTTTTTGACGACTTTTTCATCCTCGGTCGCAGCTTCCAATTCCCGGTTTTTCTTGATGTGGGATGCAGCATGAGCCATCCTGGGTACTGGTAATACCTGGCCAAATGTGACAGCTTAGGGTAGGTACAATTCCCTGGCAAATCTCACAAAACCAGTCTTCAGTGTTTTTTTTGTCTCTCTCTCTCTTCCTCTCTGTGCTTGTAGTCACCGATGGAGAATTAAAACCACAGAAGGCAATGATCACCAGACGAATGTAGGGGCTTGGGAGACATTGTGCATTGACTGCCTTTATCTACCTCTGCACATCTCGCAGGAGGAAGCCTTCAAACAGTGCGGCCATTCTGATGCGTTTATGTAGTGAAGAAGTCAGCTGGGATAGTGAAGGCAGTATCATGGATAGACTGTATCTCCTGCTTACCAACTGGAAGTGCCTAAGTGGCTTCAATGAAAGGGGGAGGCAAGGGGAGATCCTAACAGGGGTAATAGCTACATCAGGAGAGATACAAACGGACGATGCACTAAAACAGAGCAACAGTCAAGTGTCCACATATTATTAACTCCTCGCGTCTCACGGAATCATTTTATTGCTGACTTAAACAGACAGGCAAAGGTGCATTGGGATACAGCACAAACCTGCGATGCAGTGGAACGGGTCTTTCTACACTGCTGATGCAGACAGAGGCCAGGGTGAAATGACACTTACATTTCCATTCCAACACCACCACCACACCCCCCAACCCCCACCCCAAGACAGGCCAAACAGTGCATTGTCGAGCGAATAGGGGTGTGAGGGGGGGCAACCCAAGGACCTACATTCTCCCCGAATCTCACAGGTCCCACCAATCTTGTCATTCGCACGCGTTGCTCATGTTAACTGAGTAGGAAAGCTTGCTCTCCGGGACTATTCAATACTGTGTCCTGCCTGGCAAATCTAAACATGTAACCACACAGGCTCACATCACAATTGCTACAGTCCTAAGTTCCCTAGAGCTACACTGACAAGGCAAAGAGCAAAAAGAAACTAAACAAAAACACCCTCGTTTCTCTAAAATGACACCATCTGCTTTAAGGTCCTTTCTTTTGGAGCCACAAATTATATGATAGTATTTTTTTTGCCACCTGTGTCCTAAGTTGCTGCTGACTGCAGGGTTTGAATATTCATGATAGGTGGGAGAGAGAGAAAAATACACACAGCAGACTGCACAGATCCAGGACATAGTAATACCTGTGGCCAGAAAATGGGAGTCCTCTCCTCGCAATACAAAAGGTAGAGAGCACAGCAGACAGGAGCAAGGGGGCAGGGGTATCTGTTCTGTCTGCCTCCACTCTGAGAGAGTGGGACAGCAGTGGGTATTTGTACTTCAAGGCGTTACACACAGTGGGCTATAAAAGGAAAAATCAACTCTTAATAGCTCCTGTCAAAGGATAAACAGTAAAGCTTCTATTGTTGCCCAACAAAAGAGTCCTTTAAGATGGTCATTGCATTACATTTGCAGGTTTTTGTTGAAAGAGGCTGTTACTGGAGCCTGGGATTCTTCGCTTGGTTTCGGAGTGCGGGCTTTGCTTTATGGAAGAAAGGGTGTTTCTCCCCATTTTGCCTGCATCAGCAAACCTAAGACGAGACCATTATACAGTGTCACAAACGACATGAGCATGATGTACGCTGTTGGCTGCAGGTAGGATTAAGCAAAGAAAGATGTTCGCAAAGTAACACAGTCACTAATTTTTGGCAATTTGACAGAAATATCAAACGCCTCCATTTGTACATCACCACGTCTAGAGACAGGCTGCGTCACTCCCCTTCTCATCATTTGGAATAATCATACTGATGGGCCATTAATGGTTAAAACCTGGTTCATTCCTTGAAATGAAGATGATGATTAAAAGCCAAATCAGTGAGAGTGACAGAAATGGTGATTCTTTATTCCATTTTTACTACGCAAGTGGCACATTACATGGCAGCCAGCACTGATCTCTGCAGATATATCACTGACCTGTGCAGAGAAATGGGCACATGAGCCAGCAATGGAACCATGCCAAAGCAGTTTGTGCAGCTAAAGTTCAGCTTTGTCCTGTTTACAGTTGAATTAGATGAAGAACACCGTCCAGGAGTTGCAATCAGAAAACTAAATCAGTCATTAACTTACAATATCAATGATACATTAACCTGGCAATGGCTGGAGTGCTTTGCGATTTTAGCTGTTACACTGAATACTGAATGAATTGTATTTGTGAGAGTGAAAGAGAACATGCGAGTAAGAGAGATGTGAGCTTGAGTGAGTGACAGAGAGGTTGAGTGTGTGCAAGGCATAGCAAGTGTGAGAGGGCATGAGTATGAGTTTGAGTGAGTGTATTTGTGCATAAGTGAGTGTGAGAGTGTTTGAGAGTGCGAGCTTGTGTCTGTGGGAGAGCGAGAACAGCAGACAGGGAGTACCAGGGAGAATCAGCGAGCATGAGAGAGCGCGAGTGAAAGCGAGTGCGAGAGACAGCACATGTAAGATTGTACCAGCCTGATTTTTGCCCTGATGGAGTGTCGGTGTTATGGCAAAGATACCAGAAGAAATCGAGTATCCCAAGTCCCAAGCCTTTGCCAGCATTTTGCATTATCATTGGGGCAGTCCATAGTTCACACAAGTGTTTCCTGGGAGGTAACTGGTCATTTAAATGATCAAATTAGGCTTTGTTGTTCATGATGCCTGAAACACGGACTGTGGAGATTAGACCAAGTAAGAGTGGCTCTGCTCTGAGTGCATTTCATTTGGATAGCCAGGGGATCCATGTGGATAGCCAGGGGATCCATTTGGAAAACTGAGGTAGCTCAGTGGGTATGGTTCCGGGATACCCTGGGGGTGGAAGTCAGGATCGACATTCCCCTCTATTTTTCCGGCACCAGAAGTAAAGGTGGAACCTCCGAGTGGCTGCACAGCTTAGAGGGAACACTGGTCAGGATCTTCTGGGGGTGGGAATGTGGGACTTCTAACTGTGAAAGTTGGGCATGAAAAAAACAGCATAAATCCCTTGGAACCATCCCATTTATTAAGAGCTGTCAAGAAACTATCAAAGTCACAACAGGAATCAAGAGCAGTCAGCAAGTGACAACAAATGTCAATATGTTTTTATGAATAAGAGTACTTTTCTCCATTGAGTGTAGTCGTAATGCAGAACTTAAATTGAAATATATTTTTTCATTGATGTGCGTAGGTACATGTGGATACTCCATTAGTTAGCATGGTAGATGGAGGGGGAAACAAGTGGTGGTTGTAAATAGACAGCAAGTTGTTATAGGGTGTAGGAGGACTGATGGCAAATGGATAGAAGGCATTAGGTTACACGAGTTGGCATGAATTTGTTAAAAATTCATTCATGGGATGAGGACATCACTGGCTAGGCTACAGGGATGAGAAACCCAAGTTATGAGGATAGATTGAAGAAGTTGTCATTGTTCCCCTTGGAGAGAAGAAGGCAGAGAGGAGTTTTCGAAACCATTAGCGGGCTGGACAGAGTGGATGGGGGAGGGGGTGAAGCTGTTCCTGCTTGTAAAAGAAGAAGGAGAGGGCATCGATTGAAGGGAAGCGGGGGTGTGATGCGCAAATGAAGCAAGGGTGATGTGAGAAAAATCATTTTCATCCAGTCAGCAGTTAGGGTGTGGAATGCACTGCCTGGGAATTTTATTTTATTAATTCACAAGATGAGGGCGTTGCTGGCTAGGCAGTATTTATTGCCCATCCCTAATTGCCCAGAGGGCAGTTAAGAGTCAACCACATCGCTGTGGGTGTGGAGTCACACGTAGGCAAAACCAGGTAAGGATGGCAGTTTCCTTCCCTAAAGGACATTAGTGAACCAGATGGGTTTTTCCCAACAATTGACAGTACACAATGTGGTGGAAGCAGGTTCAAATCGAGGTATTCAAGATGCCATTGGATGTTTTTTCGGACGGTAATGGTAAGCGACTACACTCAATGGAGAAAAGCACTCTTATTCATTAAAAACATATTGACATTTGATGTCACTTGCTGACTGGTCTTGGTAATGGTAAGCGGGGATATGGGGAAAAGGCAGGAGACTGGCTCTGGGTATTAGAATTGGTGCAGGTACAATGGGCTGAATGGCCTCCTCCTACAACATTACAATTCCGTGATTCTGAGAGAGTTTTGACTTCTCCCTCATCGCAACCAGCTAAGTCTACACAAGCCTGCTCAATCAATCCAAGCTGTAGACAGCACCAGGAGCAACTCTTTTGTTCGTGCTTTTTTATTAAAAAGGTTCTGCAATCTGTGATTTTACCTACTCCATTCCAGGCAGCCATGCTTTAAGCGATCCATGACCTTCAGCTCTGGAAACCCCAGCGGAGACGACTCCCCACGCTCGACCCATTGCTCACCCCTCTTTCCAGAAGCTTCTAAAAAGCTACCTCTAAGGCTAAGCTATCGATCATCTTTCCCAAGTGCCCCTTCAATGGCTCCCCGTTGAAAACGTCTGTTTCTAATTGATAGTGCACTCACCAGCTTTTATTATCTTAAACACACCTTTTGTTGTTGTAAGCACCTCCCTTGAAGACCGATTCAGCGATGGCTTCTCCCACTGTGACCCCCCAACTCTAACATGGCAGCTGCCAGGCCGCTCTCTGGTAACTATGCAAGCTTAGCTCCCACCCACAGAGCTGGATGGGCTGAAACTTGGAAGCTTGTTCTGGATCCACACGCACAACATAGTCGAAGCCTAAAAAAAGGGCGTATTTCCCCAAGACGCTGAGCTCAAACCTTGAGCGCGGGTAAGGACGTCAGCAAGAAACCTTGGCTTTATCTCATTATCACCTTGTTCATCATTTCTGTCACTTTATGACTCCCGAAGAGTACTGCCAGCTCTGGTTGGACAAACACTTAGGAGCTCCATCACACAATTTCCTGCCCAATCAAACAGGTTTCAATGCCTAATTCCAATATTTGTCTCATTAATTGGTTTAAAGAAAACGATACAACATTTACCATTTCAGGAGACTCCAAGACAATCCTGGCGCGTTCGTAAGCCCTTCTCCATCTCTCCTCACTATCACTGGCCTTTCCCTTCACCTCGCCTCC